CTGGGTGGCTCAGTGGTTGAGCGTCCGCCTTTGGTACAGGGGGTGATCCCAAAGTCCTGGGATTGAGTCCCACATCAGGCTCCCTGCAGGGAGTCTGCTTCTCCCTCTGCCTATGTCTCTGCCTCTCTCTGTGTGTCTCTCATGAATAAATAAATAAAACTCTTAAAAAAAAAGTTTGGAAAGAAATAGAAAAAAGCTGGAGTAGAAAATGATGCCAAATAACTGTTTTATAAAATAGTGTTGGACCCAGAGAAATATATACTTGAGTGTCAATATCCATCAAGGAACAGTAAATTCCCCAGGTTTCATTTATTCAACTAATTTTTATGAAATTACTACAATCATGAAACAAAGTATGGAAGGGCAGGAGAAAACCAAAAACTATAAATTAACTGCATGAATTGAATGAAAAATATAAAACGAAAATCACGAATGAAAGTGAAATATAATAAATAAAGTAAACTGATAGAATCCAATAATATTTTTAAAGACTATGGGGATTTCAATCCAATTATGCTCTATGTTGCTTAATTTGGAGAATCTATGAGTATAACCTGTCATACCAATGGATCAAAATAAAAAATATATAATCTTAACAGATGTCCAAAGAAAACTTGATAAAATTCAACCTCCATTTGATTTTTAAAGACTGTTAGTAAAATATGAATGGAAAATTATCACCTTCATGTTATAAAATGGCTATCTGAAACTATCGTTCAGCATCATGTTTGACAGTAAATCATTATACTCAGGAACAAAAAGTAGACAACAAAATGCCATTAATATCTAATGTTATTTTGATAATTTTAGACAAAATAACTACATGGCATAACAAAACAAACACAAACCCTGGAAAGTAGAGACAATATTATAATTATTTTTTCTGACAGGCTATGGATCAAAGACTCAATTGTACATTCAATGGCACATACTATTAAATATAAATAATAAAAAATCACTAAAAGTCTTATCTGCCATTAGGGGCCTCTTGCAATAAAAAAATAATAGTTTTTAGGGACACCTGGGTGGCTCAGCGGTTGAGTGTCTGTCTGCCTTTGGCTCAGGGCGTGATCGAGTCCCACATCAGGCTTCCTGCGTGGAGCCCACTTCTTCTATGTCTCTACCTCCCTCTCTCTGTGTCTTTCGTGAATAAATAAATAAAATCTTTAGAAAAAAATAATATTTTTTTAAAATGCACCCACCAGAGCAGCAGGTTATTTAAAATTTATAACACTAAACTTTAAAAAAAATACGGAAAGTCCACATGTGTATTTATTAAAACTATAAAAACATAATGATACTTATAGCAAACTACACGCAAGATCTATGAAATATGTAAAGATTAAAAAGTGAAACCCTAAGATTCTGGGAAGAAAACAGGAAAACACTTATAATTTCAGATAGGGAAATGCTTTTCTAGACAAAACATATAAGCCAGAAATCATAAGGGTAGAAATATATAAACGAATAAAATCAATTTGAGTATGTGAAATTACCACATAAGAAAGAATACCAAAAAAAGTAAAAAAAAAAAAAGAATAACAAACTATGAAAAAACCATATATAACAAAAATGCATATAACAATGGGCCGTTTCCTTAATATACCAAGTGCATTTATAAATCAATTGTGAATAGCAACATCCTCACAGAAAAATAGGCAACATAAATAAACTGGCAGTTAGCAATTAAAGAAATCACATCTAAATAAACATACAAGATGCTCAACTTTACTTTTATTTTTTTTAAAGATTTCATTTATTTATGAGAGACAGAGAGAGAGAGAGAGAGAGAGAAGGGCAGAGACACAGGCAGAGGGAGAAGCAGGCTCCATGCAGGGAGCCCGACTTGGACTCGATCCCGGGTCTCCAGGATCACAGCCTGGGCTGAAAGTGGCACTAAACTGCTGAGCCTCCCCGGCTGCCCTACTTTTAATTAAAGAAATGCAAATTCCACATTAAGATCTTCCACTTTTGTCAGACTGGCAAGGACCAAAAAATATTCTGATGATACACAGAAGTTTGCATGCATCTGGGAAATCGGCCACAGTCATGTACTGTTGGCAAGAGTCTGGTATCCCATCTTCGGAGGTTAATACAGAAATAAAATTCTAAATTTAAAGTGCACTCTTAAGTTTTGACTGAAAGGACACACTTAGTAATTTTTTCTCGAGATCTGCTCGCACATTCTACTCTGGTTGGCCACTGTACCTCTTACACTTAGTTCCCACGGCAGCAGCACAGCCACTCTATTTGTGGAGTAATGAATGTGCACAAAGGGTAATCTTCTCTGCCATGTTTGTTTTAGCAGAACACTAGAAACATCCCTAACCTGTCCTTCATTAAGTGGCAGTTAAATAAATTATCCTGCATCCATCCATCCAGTGGAATTCTCTGCTGCTCTCTATTTAACAGCTGGGCAGATCTCCAAGTGCTGTTATACAAATGTCGCCAAGCTACACGGCTGGCTGACAAAAGCAATGTGAATAATGATGTTTAGAATAGACTCCCCATGAGTGTAAAAATGATAATACATAAAATAAGCATACAAAATGTCTGACTACCAAAAACTTTCTAGAAGGGGATGAGGATTTGGAATGTATATATACATATATATATATATATATGTATATATACATACATATGCAGATTAAATGAGTTAATTTTTAATAATCCATAGGAAAAGGACAAACACACATATAGATACAGAAATGCACTAGGTGTCCTAAAGGAAAACAAGAACTGCACTGAAGGATTTATAAAAACAATTTGGAGAAACGAAAACACAATGCTCCTGAAGAAAACACGGTATTGCTCCTGAATGGGAAAACACGGTATTGTTAACACATGAATTCTCTTCCAAGGCAATCTATAATTTTAATGTGATTCCAGTTCAACTCTCAAATCTATTGCTTTTGAGCCTTGACCCAAAAAATTTAAAACTCATCTGGAGGCTAACTTCTAAGAATATTTTTGAAAAGTTGATTAAAGTCTGGAATGGAGGAGTACCTGGGTGGCACAGCAGGTTAAGCATCCAATTCTTGGTTTCAGCTCAGGTCATGATCTCCCGATTGTGAAATCAAGCCCTGTGCCGGGCTCTGGGTTCAGCATGGAGTCTGCTTCATATTCTCTCTCCCTTTCCATCCCCCTCTCTCAAATCAATAAATAAACAAAATCTTTTTTAAAAAGTGTCTGGAAAGGGAGTGGGATTAAGTTTAGGATTAAGGTTTAAAGTCAGAAAAATGTTGATGATTCCATGGTACTATATAAGCAAGATGTATGTGAAAGTGCACTTGTGTACATGATGTTCCTTTAATTTACTTAGGGGTTTCCTGAAGGCAGAAAGGAATAAAGGAAATTGAATCTACCTGCTTTATCTTTTCATGCTGCTGTGACATAGGAAAAGAGGGTCTGAGATGAAGACCTAGAGGGATCAGCCTTTCTAGGCAGGGTACAATGTGGGCCTTCTGTTTGGTCTAGACCACTGTGCCCTGTCACTTCTCATCACCCTAAACACTGTGTCCCACACACAAGGCCTTGCATTAAAAAATGGGGATCAGAAGAAAAATGGCCAGCCTCTTGTCAGTTGCCAGATGTTATCTTATTCACAGGATCTAGTATTTAGGAATAAAGGGGCTGACCCTAGCTATGGAGACAAGTTGGCAAGGTGGCGCTATACCACCTTGGTATATGAAAGTATGAATTACTTTCTGTATAAAGTATGAAAGTGTGAAAGTATAAACTACTTTCTGATGGTGGTGGGGCTCCAGGTTTTATCAATTATTAGAAGTCATGAGCAATACTGCACCATACCAAGGATACTCAATATATCACATCGGGATAAAATCTGATCAGTGTGGTCTAGGCCACACTGAACAGAAAATAACAAGACGAAGCTCTCACAATGAGTTTTTTGGAACTCAGTTAGGTGCCTCTGCATTGAAACTGTGCCAACTTACACTCATCCTTCTAGCTTTGATGGATAAAAACTGTAGAGAGCAGCAGGCTTCCCAACAGCTGCTCCTTTGAACTCAGACAGCATGGCCACAATAAAAGGAAGCATGGCTCTGCTACAAGAAAAGCAGCAGATAATTCAGGATGGCCCCTGACCTCTCAGAAATCACAGCTGCAAGCCCAGCAAATGCACAGGCAGCTGTGGAGGAGAATAGTTCTAAAAGGTAGCCCTGCGTCTCCAGGATAAATCAGGAAATGCAAGTGTCCACATCTGGCAGCCATGGTCATATTCCGGAGTTAAACTAACCCTTACTGAACTTGACTGTCCCACCCGGAAGCACATGTTACCATCTCGGGAGCTAAGTCACTATATGGAATGAAGCTTCTACCTGGCAAACTATGTACTGATCCCATACTATGTACATAGCACACTGTCTACCATTTTCCTAGATCTAAAAGATAATCTACTTTTTGAAAACAAAACAAACAAACAAAATGTGAACTAAATTATTTCAATGGACCCATTATCAAACATATATGTATATGGCACTTAAAACTGACTTACAAAATTTATTTTTAAAAATTCAGTGCAGAGAAAAATCAATGCAACAAACGCCAAAATATAATCATTACTAAAAACATTTACTCTCAAACAGTACTATACTGTGATCCTTAGAAATACACTATTAGCAACTGACTTACAAGTAGGACAAGGTTTAGTTTGAAATAATTTTTAGAAATGAATCAACTTAAATTCCTTCCTGTTGATAATGGAGTCGGTCAAAGGTGTATCAATCTAAAAGGAAGGCAGGATGGATTTTTTATGTCAGTTTGGCTAGGCCATAAGCCCCCGGTTTTTCAATGTTGCTGTGAAGGTATTTTGTAGATGTCATTAAAGTCCATAATCATTTGACTTAAAAAAAATTCATTATGCAATTATAAGACATCAGACTAAATCCAAGGATATAATCAAATTTATTTTTGAAATTACTTTCAGGCAAAATCAAAGCCTATGACCTTTTCTAAAAGGTTTGCATTTCATTACTCACCAACTGACAGCCTTCTAGGGAGTTGACTAGCTGAGCATTCTGACAGGAGAGAATTGAACCAGCCAAATTCAGCATTACACACACTGCAGAGAGCAGCATGAAAAAGGTTATCTGGAAATAAACCAAACAAAAATTTATTATTCACTTGGAGAAGTTTGAAGGAAAAGTGACTTGGCTTCAAAGAAGTTTTAAGTTGATCAAATAATTACATGAGTAATAGTTGCATTTTTTAAAGGATTGTATTATTTCTCAAAGTTTGATTTACACTGTAAAATATTTTAAAGGCTAAACTTGAAAATACACGAGACAGTCTCAAAATACTTTTATATCATCTCAAAAATAACACTTCAGAATTTAGTAAAGAAAACCAACAGAAAGAAGTTTATTAGGAGGCCTTTAAATTTAATTTTTTATGGAAAATTTCATACCTATGCAAAACCAGAGAAGAGAGCTTAATGATGCCCCACCATGTACCTATCATCCAGACTCAACCACTAACTCTAGATTATTTTGTAGTAAATATCAGACATGATATAATTTCATCCTTTCAGTGTATATTTCTAAAATAAGACTTTTTGAAAATATAACCAAATTAATGTCATCACCTCTAGAAAAATCATTCATTAACATCAAATGTTCAGAGTACACATTTCTTTAATTGTCTCAATTTGTTAAAATAAGTTTACAAGGATACAAAGGAGCTCCATATAGTACAATTGGTTGTTCTGAATCTTGATCATTGTTTTTAATATTTTCAGTTGTTAGATACAACATATCATAACATCATACTGATGTTTTTGATTCAAATTTAGAACCACGGAGTTTTTACTTAATCACATCAAACTTATATCTCTATTTCCTTCCAACCATGCCAAAAATCTTATTTCTCATTGCAATTATCCATCCGATTCAATCTCATGATACCCACACAACAGTCCCAAAATAACAATACTAGTACTAGCACTAAAAACATGATTATTGAAAAGTTTAAAATAAAAAAATATATATTTTATTTATTTATTCATGAGAGACATACAGAGAGAGGCAGAGACATAGGCAGAGAGAGAAGCAGACTCCAGGCAGGGAGCCTGATCTGGAACTTGATTCCAGGACTCCAGGATCACGACCTGAGCTGAAGGCAGACTCTTAACTGCTGAGCCCCCCAGGCGTCCCACAGTTCAAGATTTGTATATTTCTTTCTATCCTTAGAGTACATTCTACCAAGAAAAAGTAGTCAAATTATGGTGTTTTAGAGTCACTAGAGTTCCTTGATGTGTGCTTATGCTACTGACTGAGAACACAGATTCATTTTTTTTATTGTTAGTTTTTTTTTTAATTTAGTTTTGTTTGGAACTGTATAAAAGGATTCTGAAGTCAAATACATTAAGTTTCAAACAAGTCTAGTTTTTATTCTAATCTCCATTTTGTTCCCTTGCTTCTCCTATAGGTAGCCATTTATTTTTAAATCTTATCCTTCCATTATTTGGTTTTTAGTAAAGACAAATAAATATTAGCATTCTATACGTATTTTCTCCATCCACTTTTATTTGACCAAATATCGTGGAAAGCACTTAATAAGAGTACACAGAAATATTCCTTTTTTAGCTATATAGTACTTCATTGCTCAAATGTACCATAGTTTATTCAACCAGGTTCCTATTGATGGATATTTGGGTTGTTTTGGTCTTTTGTATTTTACGGTAAATAATGTTGCAACAAACAGCCATATTCATTTTTTTTTTTTAAGATTTACTTATTTATTTCAGAGAGAGAGAGCAGGAGGGAGGAGCGGAGGGAGAGAGAGTAAGCGAACTCCATACTGAGCAGTGAGCCCAACGCAAGGCTTCACCTCACAACCCTGAGGTCAGGACCTGAGCAGAAACGAAGAGTTGGTCGCTTAACAGTCTACGCCACCCAGGCACCCCTCCATACATCTTTTTAAATGATTGCCAATATGACTTTGGTATATATGCTTAGGAAGAGGATTGTTGGATCAAAAGATAAATATTTAATTTCTCTAGACACTGCCAAATTCCCTAACATAGAAGTAATATCATTTTTTTCATTCCTACCAGCAATGTATTAAAAGTAAGAAGGTCTTAATTTTTTATTAATACCTAAAATATTTTGAAAAAAATACCTAAAATGTTTTGGCTAAATAAAGTATAGGAAAAAATCAGTATTATCATTTATTACTCATAAATATATCTCCACCAAATATAGCAAAATTTCTTTTTCCTTTAAAATACACACACAGGGTAGAAAACAAAAGAGGATATTTTGTTAATTTAGGAAATATTTCAAGTTCATGTTAGTAATATTTCAGTAATGATTCTAGTAGCTGTAGATTTTTACAGCATCCTGTGAGATTTGGCTGCACAGAGGTGAGCATTAATTTTCTACATTTAGATGTCACAACAGTACCATATTATCAATCAAATAATATAGAAATGAGCTAGTCCACAAAGTTTCAAAACGGTGCTCAGAAATAATTGTTAAAAACATTGGGACAGCAATCTACACAGAAGCCAAGAAAAGAGACTATTGTGAGACACAGGTGGTATTCAACAATATAGAAAGTTGAGGAACGCTAGAAAGTTGAGGAACAAAAGGGATACGATTTTTTTTCATGTTTACTCTTGAAAAAATTGTGGTAAAATACAAAACAAAAAATTTACCATGTTTTAAATTATTTATTTATTGTGATTGGACATAACATGGAACGGACCACTTTAATGGTTTTTGTGTGTACAGTTCAGTGGCATTAAGTACATTCACATTGTCATTCAGCCACCATCACCGTCCGTCTCTAGAACTTTCTCATCTTCACAGACTGAAACTCCATGCTCATTAAACACTAACTCCTCACTCACTGTTCCCCTCAAATCCTGGAAACCAGTAGTCTACATTCTTTCTTTATGAATTTGACCACTCTTGGGATTTCATATAAGTGAAACTATACAGAATTTGTCCTTTTGAACCTTTTTTCACTTAGCATAATATGTTCAAGATTCATCCATGTTGTACTAAATGTCAGGATTTCCTTCTGTTTTAAGGCTAAGCACTAAAAGTATAAAACTCTTAGAAGAAAACATAGAAAGCTTTATGGCATTGGATTTGGCAATGATTTCTTAGATATGGCAGGCAGCAAAAGAAAAAACTAGGTCTTTGATCCTTTGTGAATTATTTTTTTGCATATGGTATAAGGTAAGAATCCAACTTCATTCTTTTGCATGTAGAAATACAGTTTTCCAACACCATTTGTTGAAAAGATTGTCTTTATCCCATTGAACAATCTTGGCACCCTTGCCAAAAATCATTTGACTGTATTTGTGAGGGTTTATTTCGTGGCTCTCTATTCTATTCCATTGGCCTATATGTCTGTCATTAACACCAGTAACATGCAGTTTTGAGTATTGTTTTACAAAAAGTTTTGAAATCAGAAGTGTGAGTCCTCCAGTTCATTCTTTTTTGAGGATGCTTTTGTTATTGGGGGGTTGCTTAAAATCTCATATGAATATTAGGATTGGTTTTTCTCTTTCTGAAGACAAATGTTGGGATGTTGATAGGGATTGCATGGATCTGCAGATCACCTTTGGCACCTTTCAGCCTATTAAAATATTAAGTCTTCTAATCCATGAGCATGGGATGTCTTTCCATGCATTTATGCATTCTTTAATTTCGTTCAGCAATATTTGATCATTTTCAGTGTCTTTCACCTATTTGGTTAAGTATTTAATTCTTACCATGTTATTGCAAATGAAATTATTTCCTAACTCCTTTTTCAGATTGTTCATTGCTAGTCTATAAAAATGCAATTGATTGTTGTACTTTGATTTTATATCTTGCAACTGTGCTGAATTCATTTATCAATTCCAAGAGTTTTTTTTTAATGGAACCTTTAGAGATCTACCTGTAAAATCATGTCATCTGTAGCAGAGATGATTTTACTTCTTCCTTCCCAGTGTGGATATATTTTATTTCATTTTCTTGCCTAACTGGATTTTCAATACTACGTTCAACAGTAGTGGTGAATGTGGGCATCCTTGTCTTGTTACTCATCTTAGAGGAAAAGCTTTCAGTGTCTCATCATTAAGTGTTAGGTCACCTGTGGGTTTTTTTATATAGTGCCTTTACTATGTGAAGGAAGTCTTCTGTTTCTTGCTTGTTGAGTGCTTTTACCACAAAAGGGTGTTGAATTTTTTCAAATCCCTTTTCTACATCAACTAAGATGATCAATCTTTTTTAAAAAATTAATTCTGTCAATGTGGCATATTACACTGATTTTCATGTATTTAATCACCTTGCATTTCAGGAACAAATCCCACTTGGTCATAGTGAAAAAATAAGATTTTAATTTTTGTATGTAAACAAGGTCATGACATTTATTTTGAGACCATACACCTTGACTCTATTCTGGTGTTCTACCTTTTCCGTTATCCTTCTAGGGCACATATACTATAGGCATTGATTCACAAAAGGTGGGGACCTAAGGTTGTTTTAAACCTCAGATAGTCACAGACTTTGCATGCTCACGCCAGGGCTTTTTTAACAGGTCAGATCTTTAAAAACAATTCGATTTTTTTTTTTTTGGTGCCATGTGCCAATAGCCACACCTATACTTGTTTTCTAGGTATACATCTTAGATTCGCTATATATATCTTATCATGTTCCTCTTTCTCTCTCTACTTGATTGTGTACTGTCGGTCTTCATGTATTTGATGGACAGACTACATTTAAACTTTCTCTCATCTTGTCCTTTAAAAAATATGAGACATCCAACTCCTAGTTACTAAACCGCTTTAATACATTCATGTGTATTGACAATGGGAGTGACAACTATACCATAGATTTGATTTTTGCCCCAAGAATGTGGTTTAATTTGCTTTTGTAACTCAGTTTTATTTTTCATTGGTTGGTGATTCAGAACCACTTGCATATCCATACACTTCTGGATTCTCTGTATTCTATTCATCCCTGAACATATACCAGCCAAGTGTCTTCCAATTTCGTCTCTTTCCTAAAAATTTTGCTAGATGCAGCCACAGGCACCAGCATTCATGCTACTACCACTGTTTTCTAACTTTAGAATTACAGGTTCATTAGGTGTA